CGCGGCCGGGGGGAGCGGCTCTTGCTCCCGGCACACAGCACTGCCCGTGCCGGGGGCTGCACAGCCCTCGCCTCGCTCCCGTCAGGGCGCAGCGGGCTCGGGCCGCCCCGTCGGGGCCTCCGCCCTGTCCCCGAAAACGCCCCAACAAACAGCCCGGGGGTTTTTTGTGTCCTCTCTGCCAGTCACAGAAGCCCCGTTTTCAATTTTGGCCGAAGGTTGGTCCGTTTTCAGCCCCGAAGACAGACGTCATGAGGGACTTGGTTTGGCTCGCACGTTTGTTTTCCTGCCAGCGCTGGGAGGTGAAGCTGAGACTGGGGCGCTGGAAAGAAAAACAATCAAGAAAAACCTGCCCCACAAGGAAGGGAGCCGTGACCGGCACCTCCGGCGGATACAGTACCCACACGTGTCCCCTCCCGGGTGAAGGTCACAGCAGGAGCAGCCCCCGCAGGAGCAGACATACAGTCAGCAGTGCCTGTTAACATTTCACATCATAGAAAGACAATCCACCTCATCGCTTCTGTTGCCCAACATGATTCAGCAGTCACCTGGAGCAGACGTTTTGGTTGCTGTAACAACAGCTTGGCTCACGGTCTCGTTATTTTCATGATCTGTCTGCAAGACCTTTAGCACTTGTCCTCGATGACTAGCTCTTCAGATTATTTGCAGAACGACTTTACCAGTTGTTCTGTGCTAAAATAAATCAATCTGTCATGTTAAAGAACAAGACAGCAGCTTTCATACTCTGAGGGGCTGGACTTGAGTATCTGCTCTTCTGTTGCTGCCTCCTCATTTAAAGAGCAGTTGTCTCACAGGCAAGTTTAAAAAAATAATAATAATAATAAAAAATCAGGTGCTGAAGCTATTCTGCCACATGTTCTGGCAGCAAAGAACTTCCCAAGGCTGTCAGGCAACTTCAGGACTTGCTTTCCATTAAGCACTGGTCAGCACAGCTTAACTCCCCAAGAAGTCATGGTCAAAGCCACCCACCTACTCAGTCCACCCATTACTGAGCCCCCTCTCTTGCTGTTTCTTCTCCAGTCTCTTCATCTCAAAAAGCTCCACATCTCTCCCCAAGGCCTTACAGTTGATAACACTCTGCTTCCTAGATGGTATCTTTTGGTGCTGACCAAACCCACAAGTAAAAACCTTCCAGCAGTGTAAGCCCCGTTGCCTCCTCTGCTACAGGCAGCTGATGCTGGGGACTTCTCAGTCACCTTCTTTTGTCACCTTCATGCAACATTCACTCCTGGTCCTGACACTACCTGTCATTAAGTACAAATGTCCTGTCAGATCCTTCCCTGAGCACACTTTAGCATAACTGACCTTACAGAGATTTTAAATAACATTTTATGATTGTGCATCATGCAAAAAAATCCAGCACACAGCTGGTTAAACTCAGTCTCTACTTTGGGCTCTTTCTAAAAAAAAAAAAAAAAAAAAAAAAAGAAAAAAATGCATATCATGCACTAACTATAGGTTGAAAACTCAGCATTTTTGCCTTATCCTGTCTTCCTTTCATCCCTTCCAACACTCCCAAATGTACTTCACTACCAAAAATGCTTCTGCCAACACAGGTCTATTTGCAAGCACAGGCACAGCAGGATTGTGCCAAGTGCTCACAAAAATATGCTCGGAAATGCCAATCCAGTTCCAGCTGCATTAGGAACTGCCTACCCAAAGGCAGTGCTGTGAGGGAAGAACCAAGTGTGCAATCACATTTAACTCACTGGAAGGCTTCAAAACTGAGTGAATTGCACTGGTATGAGACTCTTCTTCCAGTCGCTCATGGCACCACAGCAAAAGAAACATTAAAAGGTTTGACCTTTGGGACTAAATACAGATTTACCTAATACTACTGCTGTTCTTTTAACCTGGTTTTGTAACAGATTAGCAAGCAACAAATTTCTGGTGCTTTACCTTTACTAGAAAGGAAAAATGAATTAAAAGTCATTAGCATGTGGTAGCTGTCACAGATAAAACATTAATGAGACAAGGCAAACAGCTCCTAGATACATGAGAACATTGCTCTTCACAAGGCAGTTTCTTCAATCCCTCCACCCAAGTGACTGAGAAGATGTGAGCAAGTTTCTGGAGCTTTACCAGCTGAACTGGTAGGGGGATTCCTGCATGGATGCTGCTCCTCTAAGAGAATTC